TGCTTGGATTTCTCTTAAAGGTATAAACTACGTTTAGAAAGGTCATCCCGTGGATAAACTAGGAACTCCTTGTCAACATATTTTGTAGTAGGTTTGTTTATATCAGCACCACCACAAACCTGAGTAATATGTTGCACTATGATGGCTACGATGTTACTAGGCAACAGGAATTTTTCAGCTCCATTATAATCTTATGGGACCACTGTAGTATATGTGGCCCATCATTGACCAAAACGTCATTATGCAGTGCATGGCTGTACTGGAAAATTTTAATATGTACTAAATATTAAGAAGAAAAATAAGTGTCCTCAATTTCTAAGAATGATAAAAAACTAAAAGATCTCTCCAGATTACTAGTGATTATTCTGTTGTCTGATTCACTTTGTGATTGGGAGAAAGTTTAATGTCTTTTTAGACTTTGTGTGTGTTACATACGGTTGGGGACAGGGTGTAGATTATTTTCCTGGAGAACTGCAAATTTGAACATTTCATTGTGTAACTGGGGATGACTCTCTTCATGATTGGACAGAATGTACTGTACTGGTTTTCAGAAACATATGCTAAAGTAAAACAGTACTCAGGGCAATTCCAGACAGATTGATAACTGTTTCTCTAATGAACATCAACATATGTACTGAGGTTGGCAGATGAAACCACTCAAGATGTTCACTTCTTGGCCAATACACAGGGGCTCTTCTTAACATCTGGACAACTATTTCATTGCCCAATAAAATGTAACATCAATTCTTACGAGCAAACAAACCCAAAATGTACTTACTACATAATTCCCAGGAGATGCTGAGGAGTATGGTATCTGGAACATAATAAACAGGACAAAAAGAAATATTTTGATTCATGTGGCAACATGGAGACTGACCTAAAGTGAATCCATTTCATGACTTTCATCAAGTTTTCCAAGCTACCAATGGTTTAACAATGGATAGCAAAGGATAGTAAAGAATAAAGGAATTTATATCTGTTTAAGTGCTAGAAAACTTAATTTCTGCAATATTATCTTGGATTTACAAAAAAGAAGGTGGATTTTAGTCAACAGGAATTTAGATGGAATTACAGTTTCAAGTTATATTTGTTTCAGGTCAGTTGTACCCACTGCTTGATACTAATGACTTATTTTGTAAGGAGAAAAATATATTTGAACAGCTAAAAAACAGGAAACCAGTATTTTTCAAATTAGTAGCCATTACAGATGCAACTTCTAAGCTGTGTGCATTTTTATTTTAAAGACAGGTTTCAGGCTACTACATTCACACAATATGGGTCAACATTTGATATAAAGACCGCACCTTTCCTCTTCCCTTTCTAATTAGTTACTAGGAAATAATATAATATATGAAAGAGTTTGTTAGTAGGAGTCTCCAAAGACAACTAATTCATGGGAATCAGATATTGGTAACAAATTCCCTCCTTCTTTTCAAATCAAGCTCTTAACCAAGCTCTTTTCTAGAGATTAGAAGGTATCAATACCACATTGTTGTGATAATAATTTAATTAAAAAACTGTAGAATTTATACTTTTAAAAAAAGCCCTTGAGTGTGGACATTAAAGGGAAAGTTTCAATCCAAATATTTCCTTTTCTCACCCAAGCTCATTAGCTCACATGTGTAAAGACGCTGCACATCCGTAAGAGATATTTTTGCCCTATTCTGAAAAAAGCCAATAAATTACTGTCTTCTTAAGAGACAGACAGCCAGGGCCAGTATAGGTCCTTTAGAGTAGTGAATTATAGTGTCTGTGCTCTAAACGCCCCCTTGCCCCAACATCTGCTACATAATTAAACATAAAAATAATATGGAACCATAGTGTAAGTATAAGGAAGTATAAAAAAGTTATGATTTCCCCTTGATGAATAATTCTTTGATTTTTTTTGGAAATATTTAAGTTATTTGAAAAACCTTTCTCCTCATTGTTGGTGTCCTTGCTTGCCTTAAGCACAGACCACATGTCCCTGAGGCTCCTTCTTGGTCTGCCCATGGGTAATTTAGCACTGCAGGTGGCCATTACTAGAGTGTCCAGCATCACTACTGATGAAAATTACTTCCACTATGAATACTGAGCTCTCTTATGGCAGTAAACATTTACTCGATTTGGTGAATGAATACAGCTTTGCTCTCTTGGGCTGTTTTCATTTCACGATCTACAATCCATCCTTTGCTTCTTATTTTAAACATGTGCATCTACCCTCTTCAAATTACCAACTTATATCTTGGCTCCTAGGACCAATTTCATCTCCCTATATATTTAGCACCTGGCTCATGTGTTTCTCCCAGGCTATACAGCCTACCAATACTATTTTTCTTTCTTTTTTTCTATTGTAACATAGTTGATTGTACATATTTGTGGGGTACAGAGTTGAGTATTGTTACTTGTTTGCAATATGTGATGCTCAAATCAGGAAAATTAGTATATTCAATATTATACAATTGTTTTTTGTGGCTCTTTACTAACTCCTCCCTCACCCTCTCTCCCTGTTTCCCACCTCTGGCCTAACGTTATTCTTAAGCAACTTCAAATTCAATCTAACCACCTTTAAGATCTTCGGAGTCTACAGCTCATTGCCTTCCTTTACTTTACAATATACTGCCCTCTCTTCCATTTATGAGAATGACCACATCTTAGAACTCTGCACAGAGATCTGAACAATTCCCTTGCGTAACATTTTATTTCTCATGACACTCACCAAAATTATTCTATATACCACCTGGAATCTTCTCTTGTTACAATTCCTCCATGTTCACTTAGTTCATTATTTATTAGTTTATGACTTAATTGCCTCTGACCCTCCTCCATGTCACTTGCAGCATTTTATTTCTCTACAATAACTTAAATCCATTATCCTTAAGCCTACTTCGTTAATTTCTATCTCTTTGATCAATTTCTAGCCAAACTTTCTGTTTTAGGGTAGAGACTTCCTGGAGAGAAACACTGTAGAGCTAAGGCTGGGTCTGGAGTTCACAGACCCCCTTGAGCTCGTTTACAAACCCTTCACACACAGGTCTATATGCTAGGTAACTAGCAAAAAGGTCCTTGAAGCCTTGGTGCCTTGGTTGAAGTAGGAATAGTCTTTATTCAGCACACATGCATTCAAGAGCTAAGCAGTACAAAGAGAAACTCAACTGCTATTGGCAAAGTCCAAATAAAAACTGAGAACTCGGGCCGGCCCGGTGGCGCACTGGATAGTGCGCCGCTTGGGAAGCGCGGCAGCGCTCCCGTCCGAGGGTTCGGATCCCACGTACAGACTGGCTCCCGCTCACTGGCTGAGCGAGGCGCGGGAGCAACGCCGAGGCTTGCGATCCCGTCGCCGGTCCCCGGTCCGGTACGGGGGCAACACTGAGGGTTGCGATCCGTTGCCGGACATGGAAAAAAGACAAAAAGACAAAAACAAAACAAACAAAAAAGAATAATATTCACAAGCTCTTGTTACCTCCACTGTCCATCAACTTGTGTTTTTTGCTNGAATAGTCTTTATTCAGCACACATGCATTCAAGAGCTAAGCAGTACAAAGAGAAACTCAACTGCTATTGGCAAAGTCCAAATAAAAACTGAGAACTCGGGCCGGCCCGGTGGCGCACTGGATAGTGCGCCGCTTGGGAAGCGCGGCAGCGCTCCCGCCGTTCACAGACCCCCTTGAGCTCGTTTACAAACCCTTCACACACAGGTCTATATGCTAGGTAACTAGCAAAAAGGTCCTTGAAGCCTTGGTGCCTTGGTTGAAGTAGGAATAGTCTTTATTCAGCACACATGCATTCAAGAGCTAAGCAGTACAAAGAGAAACTCAACCGCTACAAAACAAACAAAAAAAAAAACTGAGAACTCAACTGCTACCCACAAAGTCCAAAGTAAAACTGACCAGCTACCAGCAAAGTAAACATGCTCTGTTTTTAATCTTGAGCTCTCTGCTGGCCAGCTTCTGCTTCACAAACTGAACAACACACATTAACAACAAAGTAAAAAGACACATGGGTGCACATGCGCACCAACTCCACCCCCACACAACTTGTTTATAAGATATGTGCTGCATCACCCACAACCAGACCTGAGTTGAGGGAGCCTGACTAAATTATTCTATTTTCCCCACAAATACAAAACAAGGTTGCCAAGGTCCAAAATATAATCATGCTGTCCAATTTCCACCTAGTCTTCACTAATATCTGGAAGCATTTTGGCTCAAACTTTATGGAAGACCTGAAGCTTACTAGTGATGTATCAGTAAACCCAGTAAATTTCAGGGAAAAAAAGCCCGAATTTGTAGCGTTTACTAATTTCTGCAGTGTAATATTCCCACATGGCAGATTTCAAGCTACCAATGGTTTAACAATCAGCTCACAAAATTCCTAAATATTTAACAATTGACTCGTGAACTGGCCCTCATGGTGATTAGCATCCTGAGTGGATATTCTGTCCTCCTGTCACACATTAAAGCCATTAAGTTCTTGCTATGCCCTTATTTTCAGCTCAACACTCCATTGTTCATAGATTTAAATTTTCATCTATTCATCCCAAGTAGAAAAAAAATCAAACTTAGTTTCCAAAGCTAGCTCCTCCCGAAGACCATCCCATTTTCCTAAGTCCTTGCTCCTTTTATGCTTTCAATTTCTCCGTTCTCATGGCTCCTTCAAACACAGTTAAATGTAATAAGCATTCTTAAGTATTTTTTAAAAATTTTGTTATCTTATCTAGTTGTTCAATTTCTTTCCAGTTTTGCCCTGTTAAGCTCTTCAATTTTGGCTTATACTCACTGTTTCTACTTATTCTTCTATGCCCTCATTAAAAATCATCATTTGGGCTCCTATGCCTAATACTTTACTGAACTTTCACTCTTGAAAGTTACCAGCAGGATCTGACAGCCTAGTGTGAAAGACATAAAATATAACAATGTAGGTGGAAATATATCTTCTGTGGATGTCCATAGAAGATAGTCTTGAGTTGGGCTGCTGGGACAGGGAGTAGATGCCCACCAAAAAGACAAACAGAAGGACTATAATTAACAATTTAAAGTATAGTTTCAATTAGCTAGAAGACATGATTTTGAATGTTTCCAATACAAAGAAATGATAAATCTTTGAGGTAATGAAAAAAAAAAGTGGCTGCTGCAATGTGGGACTTGTAGGGGATTGTGGTAAACAATAAAGCTACTCATACACATACTCAGAATATGAATGAATTTATGCTGTAGTAAATAAAGAGTCACAGGTTTTAGAGAGACATGTTCAAATTTATGTTTTAGTAAATTGACTCTAGAGGCATCATGGAATATAAACATAAGTTACTGCAATAAGTAAGATGATAAAGAGTTGTAGACAATGCTAATGAACATAAGTAGGAGTAAGAGAATTTGAGAGTCATTTCACAAATTACTCAGCAAGGCTTGGTGACAAACAGGATGTGGCAGACAAAGGAAGGAAGAAATTAAGGTAATTCCTAGGTTTCCAACTTCGTGACTGGGTGGATGATGTTGCTAATCATTTATATATAGGGAATCTGGAAAGTGGGGCAGGTTTGGGGGAATGTCTGATATGTTGAAGGCATTAGTATGCATTGAGGTAGGTTTGATCATCAAACATTTAGAAATATAGGTCCAGAACTTATTAGAGATCAGGACTAAAGATACAGCTTCAATTGAATAAATTTCCATTTTGTGCTGGACATAATACTTGATCTAGGATTTGACTAGATTTTGTGATATTTGAAACTGTATGAAAACACCAAAATGAAAAAAAATAGGATGCAGCTCAGGAATGTAATCAGAAAATATTACCAATTGAGAAAGGGTGGATAATGTGACTGGATGAAAA